GGGTCTCGGACTTGTAATGATTCTCCTGTTTTCATCCTCCCGAGTGCTGGCATTACAGGCATGAGCCACCACGCCTGGACTCCATCGCTAGCTCAGCACACCTGGATCGGACCCTGGCCCCTGCACTTACCTAAGCAAGTGCTTAGTCCACTGAGCTATCTCACCAGCCCTAATCTGGAGATTTCTAACATCAAGGTCTATGTGTATCTGTCTCATGGAGAACTATGGGCCCATAATGAAATGGCTCTTGAGAAAAGTTTGCTACAACTTTTGGGGGGGAAAATGCACACACAAAGAAACAATTTTCTAAAAAAAAATTATGTATTTGGTACAGGGTCTCACTATGCAGCTCAGACTCTTAGTGTTCTTCCTGTTTTCAACCTCCCCAGCTCTGGGATTACAGGCGTGCACCGCCACGCCAGGTCTCAGTGGCCTGCTCAGTGTGCTCCAGGGGTGGGGCTAGCATGGCATGTGGTATTGGGGATCGAACCTGAGTCCTTGTGCTTGCCTAGGCAGGCACTTAGACCTCTGAGCTACCTCTGTGGCCCTCTTTTTTCTTTTATGACAGTCTATTGCTACATGGTATCTTGCCTAAACTGGGCTCAAAGTTGGCCATCTTCCTGTCTCAGCCTCTTAGAGTGCTGGAATTATAGCTGTATGCCACTACACTAGCAAGAGTGGGTGATTTTTTTTTTTTTTTTCAGAATTACCCATAGTGAGCCTGGCATTGTCCAGAGACTAAGGCAGGGAGATTGTGGTAAGTTTGAAGCCTGCCTGGGCTACAGGGTGAGTTCAGGCTCAGCCTATACTGCATAGCAAGACTCTGTCTCAAAAATAAATAAATAGATAGATAAATAAATAAAATAAATAAAATGCCCACAGTACACTTTCAGTTAACTTTATAATTGAAAAAAGTGAATCAAAATTTAACCAAACTTGGACCAGCAAGTTAGCTCAGCGGACTAAAGCCCCTGCTTCAGCAAGTTTAGGCCAGCACAGGGACTGTGGTTTGATCCCCAGAACCACATGCCACGCCAGCCCTGCTCCCAGGATGCGCTGAGCCAGCCAGAGCCTGGGTGTGGTGGTGCATGCCTGTAATCCCAACACTGGGGAGGCTGAAAGCAGGAGGATCACCATGAGTCCGAGCTGTGTAGTGAGACCCTGTGCCAACCAAATACATTAAAAAAAAAATCAAACTTTTATTATATAGCCTAAAGCTTGTAAGAATGTTAACACCTGGTTAGTGGGGGAGGCGCGCTAAAAGAGGTCAAATGAACTGACCACAGGCAAGGATTTCTGTCCTCGGACAGCACAATGGACAGTGCCCTAAGCAAGGTAACTGCTTCACCTAAGACTGATGTTCATCAACTCTTCTGTGGGCTCTATATGGCATAAGGGACTCTGGTGACCTCAGAAGGCAACACCTCCCCATCACCCAGCCAGGGTCGGGGGCTCCCCATCCCCATGCAATGTCCTGGAGTTCTTCAGATCCCACCTACCAGCTCTCCTACACCCTCCTCACCTCCTCCCATCTTCAAAGCTCCCCTTGGCTTAGCTCCTGGAACCCTCTTTTGAGGCCCCAGCCAAGCCACTCTGCACGGCCCCCCATCACACAGCTGTCTGCAGAGCTCAGTCCGTGCCCAGCAGCCTGGCACTGTGGGCACTGGCTCTCAGCTGCTCCCAACCTTCCTCAGCACCACCTCTCACCCTGAGGCTCTCCAGCTGAACAGTCTGTTTCAATTCCTCCTCTCTGGTTTTCTACCAGAAGGGCCTTTATCCTCCTTATCCCCAGAAATGAATAGACATCCCTTACCACAGTGTTCTGTGCAGTTAGCTGTATTAATCTCCTACAGCTGCTGTAGCAAATATCAGACTCAATGGCTTAAGACAACACACATTACCTATCCCTCAGGGCTATGGCCACTCGTCCTTTGTCAAGGTACCTGCAGGGCTGTGCGCCTCCTGCAGAATGCTTTCCTTGCCTTTCCTAGCTTCTGGGAGCCACCAAAACCTCTGCTTCTCTCACTGCGCCTCGTCCTCCTTCTCCCCTAACAAAGCCCACATGATTCCCACAAGAACAGAGCCCCAGGAGAGTGGTGGATGAGCTCTACATCTCAAGATGTTCAACTCAGTCACAGTTACAAAAGCCTTTCACCATGGAGGGTTAACAAAGTCGCAGGTGCCAGGAATTCAGACGTAGACACCTCTGTGTGGAGGGCATTATTCTATCATTTAAACCTTGAATTAGAAACCCTGGGTTTCCCCCCAAGATGAGGCTCAGCCGTCCCTCCTCTGTGAGCCCTCTCCCTGGGGTCTCTTGCCTTCTCCATGTGGCTGTCCTTGTTTATGTCTTACTGGAAGGACCATAAGCTCACCTAGCTGGGTGTTCAACTCCAGCACCCGCCCGGGGCAAGACACCCACTCAGAGGTCCAACTGTGTGCCTACAAAATGAACGAACTTTGGATTTTTATGATACGTTCTTTATGATTGAAGCGTTGGTTCTTTAGGGCTTCTACACTGGATTTCTTCGACAGCTAGAGATAGGACTTGGCCTTCAGTTCTTCTACACCAACCTTCCTTGTGGGGGTGCTCTGAAGACCCTGAGGGATGAAAATGCCAACTGCCAGTTCCAGCTGCCCATCAGCATTATAAGCTGAGAAACTTTCCCCAAGTGAGGTTTCCTGAACCCTGGCTTAAGAGAGCCCCCCTTCTCCTGGCTCTGATTTCCTGTTCAGCATGACTTAGCCCCCAAAGCCTGAGCTTCAGCAGAAGAAATCAGGAGGTCCTTCTTTAATCTAGGGTCCACAGCGGTGGCCTTCTGTCACCTCTCATGGCCCAGCCACAATTCCTGGATGCCCTCAGTCACCTCCCAGGGTGAGGAATCGACTACGTGCTGAGGGACAATCACACACTGCACGTTGGAATTACTGGGTGAGTAAGAGCTCCACAGACAAAGCAGCTCCTTGTGGCTTTGAAGAAGCAGAGGCTGTTGTTCCTGAGTGACAGGCAGTGGCAATCAAAGTTCGGTCATGATGAATAATGGGCAGCAATCATAATTAGCGCTACTACACGCTCCATCGGTCAAGGTCACTGTGATTCAGCTCCGAGAGCCACAGGTGCACAGGTGATTAATAACCTCGTGTTCAGGATGCCAGGCTCAAGCTCCTGGGATGGTCGGGGACCCTGGCGGTTGGGCCGCTAATTTTTGAGCTGAGCTTGTATTTATGGAAAGCAGATGGGGTCATGCATCCCACACTACCTAGGCCATGGGAATTCTCGGGCTCAAATTTATTGCCAGCCCACCAGGTGACCACCTCAGTCCCCAGGGGCCCATAACACATGCCCATCCACCTGTCCACCCCGGGGCTCAGGCCAAAAGAGCCTGGGTGTTGTTCTCCATTGTCCTGATGCCCTGTCCTGACATCTAATCCACCAGCTCACATAGAGAACTGCACCTCCAAACTCCTGTGTCCTGGGTGTGAACACTTAACTCTGTCTACTGCCACTACCTGCAGCCACTGCACTGGTTTCTCCTCCTTCATTCTGATCCCTGCCTCTCATCTGTCATGGAGATTCTTTCAAGTCATCAGTCTGATTGTGTTTTCTTCTTGGTTTAATACAACTCTCCCATGGCTCCCCAAAGCCTTAGATAGAATCCACATTCCTTTCCTCTGGTCTGAAAGACTCCATTCTCTGGCCCCTCCCTGCCACCCTCTTTCCTCATCTTCAACCTGTTCTCTCTGTTTCTCTCTGTCTCTGTCTCTCTCTGTCTCTCTGTCTCTCTCTGTCTCTCTCTCTCTCTCTCTCTCTCTCTCTCTCTCTCTCTCTCGTATTTTTGAGACAGTGTCTGGCTATGTAGTTCAGGCTGGTCTTGAGCTTGCAGTGATCCTCCTGACTCAGCCTCCTGAGTCCCTGCTTTATGTGCCAGCATCTGTCCTTCCAAGAATAAGCTCATGCCTGCCTCGAGGCCTTTGCACTTGCTGTTCTCGATGCCTAGGGAGCAGCTCCTCCAGAGCGCTGCTGGGCCAGCCCTTTTCCACCAGCCAGTCCTCAACTGAAATAGCAACTCTTCAGTGAGGCCAGTGGCTCCTGAAATAGAGCACCGCATCCCCTAGCCATCCTGTCCCCATCACCCTGTTTCCCACTGCTGTATTATGGCAGTTATGAATCCAGTCCAGGACTTTTAGACCGAAGACTAGGAGCTGGCCTCTGAGGTCCTTTCCCCAGGCAGGCACCATCAAGATTCCAGGGTCGAGTGGTCTTGGGAGTCCAAGAGCAGCATGGTAGCACGAGGTTTTTTGCGATCCCAATGGGACAGTGGTTCCTAAACCTTAATGAGCAAAAGATCACTGGGGAGCCCACAAAAGGGAGGGGCTCTGCAATCTGGTTTTCTGACCCCCCCCCCAGGGCCTTGGGCAGTGGACTGTTCTCTACTCCAAGCAGCCGACTCTCCTCCTGCAGGGGCCAGTTCGGAGGAAGGAGATGGAGAGGGCCCTCTGCGGACAAAGGGAATCAGCGACCAACATCCTACACCTGACCTATGCGCCAGCTCACGTGAGGAGCTTGGGGGCATGCAGGGAGCTTGCTTATCTTCCTCCCAGTGGGCCTAGGAAGTTGGCATTATGATGCTCTATTCTGTAGATGAGGGAAGAAAAGGCACAGAGAGACAGAGAAACCTTCTCAAAATCACACAGATGGGAGAGTGGGAGAGAAGGTTGTGATGCAGGATAATCTGATGTCAACATTTCCACTCATTCCACTGTGGTTGTCTTAAAGCTGAATTACCCTTTTTGTTTGTTTGTTGGAGACAGCATCTTGCTAAATCTCTAAATTGCTCAGGCTGGGCCTGCACTTGTGATCCTCGTGCCTCAGCCTCCCAGAGAGCTGAGATTACAGATGTGTGTCACTACGCCCAGCGTGAGTGTTCAGTTTTTATTTGCTAAATAGGTGAACCAGGCTGTTTCCATATTGATAACAATCTGTAGGATGCTGACAGAGAACTTACCAACTAGGTCACTGTACCCACAGTTCACTGTCGCCAACAGATCACTTCTCAAACCTTTCTGATTCTTCAGGGAGTCAGGGTTTAGCTCCTAGGAACAGACCTCCACTTTGTGGCAGAGACTGCTGTGGCTCATGTGCCATGCCTGTCCCGTGTCCCTGGGTTGGTGCTCATTCTCCAAGCACAGGTTACAAACTCAGAACCCAGAGGGCACAGGTCGCAATTCCACTTAAGTTTCCCTGGTGCCAACTCCGAGTCCACAGTGAGATTCGCCTCTCTTTGAATGGTACTTTGAAACTTTGGAATGTAACCCTGGATCACTCAAACCTTCCAGCACCTTAATTTCCTTCGGGTAGAGATAACAGTACATATTCCAGTAGCTGATTTGAGAGTTATAGGCTGTATAATAATCCACAATCTAAGGGGCCCAACAAGCAACCAGGGTGACTTATAAAGATTATCAAATGCAAATGATCTGGCCCCACCTGATACGGTGGTGATGTTTTTGTTTTGTTTGGTTTCCTAGAGAGCATCTGGCAATGTCTACTGACATTTTTGGTTGTTGCAATCAGGAACAGATACTGGCATCTAATGGGCAGAGGCCAGAGAAACTGCTAATACTCCAGCGCCCAGGGCAGCCCCCTTAGCAAGGATTATCGAGCCCGAACATCCACAGAGCCAAGGTGATGGGGCTGGGGAGATGGCTCAGTAGAATAAGTGCTTGCCTGGCAAGCACAAGGGCCTGAGTTCTATCCCTGGTTCCAACAAAAAAACCCAAACAAACAAAAAACAGAGCCAAGCTGAGTAAGCCTGACTTCGAGTTACCACAGCAGACTGCCTCCCTGCAGCCTAGAAGATGTGCTTATACAGTTGCAGGGGCAAAGAGCGTCACAGGTTTCCACTTGATGAGAAGAAAATGATTAGCACACTCGGAGAAGCACACCCAGCTGCGCACGTGGAGTCGTTCTTTGACTGAGATCCCCCGAGTGTCTGTGAAAGCCAGTACTCCAGGACTTCTGGGAAATGCAGCTCTTTGTGTTGGTTTACTGGGCCAATTCCGCAACTCCTCACTCAAGTCTTACACCCAGGGAAGAATCCTTCAGCAAGGGGAGCTCTTCCCTGTGCCTGCTCCCACCCTGCGAGTCTCCATGGGAAGGAGGACTCAGACAAACCACCCTGCTCTTGACCTAAGCTTCTTCTCTAAAGAAAGGACAGTCATCCGTCCTCCTGTCCCGCATTCTTCCTGACCCTGCCCTCCCTCCCTTTCCTCCTTCTTTCCTTCCTTCCTTCTACCCTCCTTTCTTCTTTCTTCCCTTCCACAAATACTGATGCTGACTATGTATTCCTCTACGGTACAGGTGTGGGAAGTAATAGTAAACAGGCCAGACAAAGGCTCAGTCCTCATGGATCTTGTGGGAAAGGAGTTGGGCAACTGACTCATCTCTTCTCTCTCCTCCCCTCCCCTCCCCCCTTCCCCTTCCCTTCCCTCCTCTCTC